TGTTTGGTATCCATAGTTGCTTTCCATGCTTTTATTCCCATCTTCTAATTTCTGCCATAAAGTGCAGACATTCATTATATACTGTGTGAGGACATACAATGCCTTTCTTTCATAGTCTGGCTTGTTTCACTTAGCAGTAAATCTTCCATATTTGTCCAATTTCTATCAAAAGCCAGGGTCTTGTTTTTTATGGCTGAGTAGTATTCCATAGAGTATATGTGCCACACTTTTTAAATCCATTTTTCTGTTAGTGGACATTTGGGTCATACACCTGTAAGTTTTCTTTTTTTTTTTTTTTTTATTTAAAGATGACTTATTTTCAGAATGCAAATAACTATTATTTTCACCCAGACTCTGCTTATAAATATCTCAATTATTTTATTTTGATGAAAATATTAGTTTTATTTAGCCTACAGTAACATAGCACTGAGTTAAGTATTTACTTAAGATAGGTTTTAAATAGTACACTGTGATTCCTTGCAACATGGCCATTTATAAACACTATCCCATTTGCCCCAGATGTACTGAGATGGCAACAGAATCCTAATCCCATTATTTTAAAACTATAAAACATTGATAAAATAAAAACTTTTCTCTTTTGTACTTCCCCCTATTAAGATGTTAAAATTTGAGGTTATATGGGACCAGCAGGCAGCACAGGGCTTAAGGTGCTAGACTCTGACGTGGCTGGCCATGGTTCAAGTCCTGGACCTGGCAATTTGAAACTCAGGCCAGGTGCTTTTACATGTATGTCCAAAACCCCAGGAGATGAACGGAGGAGAAGGGATTGAGGTGTGGTGAATTTCCTTGTGGGGTGACTTCTTGCTTTCTGTCTTTCTGTCAAAAAAAAAAAAAATACCTTGTAGTTATAACACAGGTATAAGGTTTGTATGCTATTTCTTTAGCTCAGTATCATTAATCCTCAGGGACTTTGTTAGGTATTTTTTGCTTAAATTCTTGTTCTTGGAACAGCAGTTAGCAAGCAGAGGTCATTATTAACTGAATGTAAGCTTTAAATACAAAAGAACATATTACATGACAACTACATACATTGCAAAATTATGGAATTCTGGACTGTGGAGGGGAAAAGTTACTTAAAACATTATTAGGGAGCAAGCTAGGTGGCATGGTGATTAAGGCAGCTGGATCCCACATGGCCCAGTGCATGTTTTTGAGTCCTGGACCTGGTGGCTTGGAAAATATACCAGAAGTGTGTGTGCATGTCCAAAATCCTGAGAAGAGAATAGAGGAGAAGGGATAGCATCATGGCCATCCTATCCTTCCAGGGATGCTTTTTCATGTTCCTCCCACCCATATCTCTCTTGGGCAAGTGCATGTGCCTAGAGCAAAAACTAAAAAAAAAAAAAAAGAGAGAACATATGGAGACAGTGGATGAGATTTGAATATTCTCAGTGAGTTGGATAATGGTATTGTATCAGTGGAAAAAATAATTAAAGAGTCAAAGAAATTAAATTATTTTCCTCTTTCGTGTTTAACCTTTGACAGCTATTTAGGAGCCTTAGCCCACCCTCATTATGAGAGAAGCAAGTGTTTATTAACAAAAAGTTTTAAAAGCTGGGGGAAGGAGGCAGATGGTGATACATGTGCCTATAATCTGGGGATGGTTGAGGTTGGAGGTGGAGTGCAGTGTCAAGATCCTCCTGGGGGTTTCTTTCTCTTTTTCCTGTATTTTTTGCTAATGAAATAAATTAATTTAAAAAAAAAATAAAGGAGAGGTGGGGATAAAGGAGCTACATAGTCTACTGTTGTGACACTTTAATATACAAGTCAACAA